GCCTGGATTGACCGAACATCGTGATCACAAACACAACGCAAATTGAAGTTAGCAAGAACCGGATCCCATTAGATTGAAGAGCATGCTAAAATCATTATAGACGCTGTGTTTGAGCGAATATTACAGAGTGTCAAGCGTTTAAAACTTAAGTGCAYAATTTAAGTGGACAATTTTTACACTCGTTCCCAGTCCTCTCCTTGAAGTTTCAAGGCCAATTGTACAACTAAATAATATGAATAATAAGATAATTGTTAAATCTATGTGTCTTTGAGTTTGTTGTCAATAGAATTATTGATAAATGAAAGCAATGTCCCAATATTGTTAATTTAAAAAAAAACTTCTGTATTGGCTGGCCAATCAAAGCCCTATAATTACCATATTTTGTGTTGTTTTGTCTTTGAATGCATTCATACTATAATGTCATCAGGCTGCTGAGACCAGCAAACGTATTCAAAATGTGCATCTTGTTGGCAAGTAATTCCAATGGGTTGTGTGAACAGCTGATGCTACTACTAGTAACAAGGGCGTATCCAGAAGGGGTTAGCCACTCCCTTCTTAGGGCTCAAAAATAGATGAGAGATATACAGTGTAGAAATTATGACATATAGATAAATAGATGAAATAACTCTGAATGGACTCGTTCTGAAAAACAACACCAGAGCGTTCATTTGAAAAACATCATGTTCCGCAGACCTAAGATATATGGATCAATTTGATTTTTTTTCTTGAGGTAATTTGATTTTTTGAGGCAGCCATCCCTCGTACGCCTCTCCCCTTGTAAATCCGCAACTACTACTGTGACTTCCTGACAACACATGATTATTGATATTTTGGTTGACCATGTACAAAAGAATTGCAGACGAAGCTTTAGGGAAATGGATAATCTTAATGTATTTTTTATTTTCCTCGGAGCCTCGTGTAAACTTCTTTGTGCATGAATGTTTCCTGAACCAGAATATTAAACGAAAGTCTGCTATTGTTGAGGCAGTGACCCTAAAAGGTCCGTCGGGCATACCCACAAATGTTCCCCCCTCCAACCCCCCCCCCCCCCCCCGTGGGGGAAATATTTCCGGTGTATACGTTTTGATTTATTGTTGTAATTTTGTAATTTATCATTAGTGATACGACAGGGTCATGCATTTTGGTCAATTCCTACTTACTGTCCATTACGCGATAAAGTTCTTGAGTTCTTTTTTAGGGTCAAAACTTATTATTATTCATGAGACACATGAATAAACGTGACAGAATACGGTCGGACTTCCTTGGGAGTAGTAGTGAACCGGAAAGGGAAATCATTTCAAATATGATAAACTTTGACTAGTATAAATAACTGGTGTGTTTTTTTTTGTATCACAGTACAGCGAACGTTCCTCTTAGCTAATGAAAAATGAAAGCAAAAATCAGCGGTTATTACCAAGGTTGGTCGTGTCTGATTTCMAGCGCTCATCAGAATGTGTTATACATTAGGAATTCATCACATAGTCGTATTGCAACGATCAGGAAAGATTCGTGACATTTCACGTATAAAATATCTAACCACAAAAAATAAGTCGTACAAGAAAGGTTTTAGCRATGACGTAATGTCGGTTTGGGGACCCCCGGCCGCGAGTGTCATATTTTTCTCACATAGAAACGATCAGAACAGCTTTCCCATTGGAGAGGGGGAAAAACTACAGTAGACATGTTTTTACTTTATAATTCTAATTTTAGTCGAACTGRCGAAGACATAACAAATATTTTGCCCTAGTTATGCTAATATTGCCGAAGAAAGTCAGCGTGCTACGTGACAATTCTTGACAGCAGGTCACGTGATCATGTTGACAGCTGGCTTAGTTTGCATGACTAGATTGTAGATGTGAGCGGTCGTGTCTGTACAAAAGAATTGTTCGTCCTGTACGYATTCTAATTCTCGCTGAATTTAAAGGAAAAGTTCAAGTTTAAGGCTCTTCTGTGGCCTTAATACTTCCAAGTCGTTTTKCCGAAGAAGTGTGGTAGTTTCGTCCCGTATAACCTCACAGAACTGAACGAACCTTGGAAACGGSCAGTTTTTTTTGGTCCCGGCCTACGAGCTTTTTTCTCTTCTTGTCAGGAAAAATATCAAATACAAAGAGAAATAACTTTATATCATCGTTTTGAAGGTAAGGAAAAGTGTTTTTATTTGAATTCTGACGGTATTTCCCCGAAAAATCCAATGCGTGCATTCCCGCATGTTTTCTAGTTTTACGTGAATGTCCGGTACAAAGATATGCACATGATTTTACATTAGTCCTCCTAAACTCCCTAGTGTTCTCTTTTACACCGAAAAAAGTCTGAATACCTTTCTAGGTTATTTTTCACATAACTAAGTAAGCAAAAACGATATTTTTGAATATTTCTAGATCATAATGATGATTAAAATTTGCAGTAATTTATGGTAATGTAGTCACGCTCAACAATCGACGTGCACTCGTTCACGTTGTAGGCTAACATCACGAAATAACTTTGATTGGCTGATTCTCGATCAAAATGCAACATTTGAGCGCGAAAAAGGCAAAGAGAGGATGTCGTTTTTTGCATAGTTATTTTTCAAAAAATTAAAAGTTATTTATCATGAATCTACAGAAATATCAAGTACACATTCCTGTTCTATTTGTACGTAAGATTAACGTTTATAAACTAATAATAAAGTAGTAGTTCGCACGGAATTTATAGACTCATTATTTAAAAAAAACAACATAATTATTAAATGTATTATTCTTTTGTGTAAGAATTTTGCGATTGACATTTCAGGATAATTCYTTTATTCTAAAATTCAGTGATTTATTTTTTGGCTGGCGTATTTTGTACTTTGGTCAAAACACTGAAAGGTTTAGGTAGGATTACTTATTCTTTTGTTCTGTGAGCTCAGCAATTTGAAAAGCGTGACGCATTCTCTATTCTAAAGCCAATTATTGCATTGTGTTTTTGTTATGTAATCATTTCTTTTTCCTGACGAAGAAAATTTAAATTTTATTCTAAACAATTATTGCTATGAAAAGATCAAAATTTGATCCTGATCACGAATCTCAGTGTTCTGGCCATTAGATTGATATATCCCCATTCCATATAGTTATGTCCTGAATTTATCATAATCCCCTTCTAAGTCTTGTACCCTCGTACAAACATTGAATTGCTGGTCTCCATATAGCCCGCGTGCAGGCATTCCTCGTTGGGGGCGGAGCGAAGAAAACAACGAGGAACGCCTGCACGCAGGCTAGCACGCAGGCTAGTCTCCATATGACTGGGTTTTTTTTTACCTCAAATTTTTACATGAACAAGTTCCCATATAAAAATTAACATCTCTGAAAATATAGACATGTTCTAAAACACCAGAGCTTAAAAATTATGATATTTACTGACAGTTTCCCATGTTTTTTCAGTTATTTTCAGGTGTATAATGTCCAAGTGTTGAGTTTTACTCTGCCAGTGTCATATATACTAGTATCATGTGCCCATTGAATGATAACATCAAATTATCAGCCAAAGACCCAGATACATCAACACATGRTGATAGCCAGCAGTTAGAGGGTAGTCAATTGGATGACTCTGCTGAATTCCCAACTGGTAAATATCATTTTCTATAATGATAATACTAAGCTGCATGCACACCAGAAAATGTCACTGTGCACACCAGTTTGGATGATTTAGCATTGGATTACTATCTCTGGAAACAGTTCTAATAGAGCGGATTTCGTATGAGTGGGACACCGTTACCGCACGGTTACCGCACAGTTACCGGACCTGGCCTGCACAATTTTGGTGAACCAATGAGGCACTAAAATTTGGTTACAGTACGATTACGGTCACAGTACAGTACCGTCCGTTTCCCACTCATACGAAATCCGCTCTAAAGGAATTATGTGTCATTGCAGATACACAGTGCCATCAAGTATCATCAACATGCACATCACCCAACTCAAAGCCATCAGACAAATCAAAGAAGACACGTGTATTTACCTGCGAGAGATGTAATGAACGATTTGAAGGTATGGCTGCGCTACGACAGCATTGCCGTTCTTTGCATGGAGATCAAAAATACTACAAGTGCAATGTTTGCACCAAGCTCTTCAGTCATCCCAGCAGCCGCAATATTCATCTAAGACTTCATTCAGGAGAAAAACCTTATGAATGTGAGACCTGTGGCAAACGGTTCAGAGTGTCTTCACACCTCAAAGACCATATTCGTGTTCACACAGGTAATCAATATTATTTGATGTCAGTGATACCTAAACAAACATGATGAAAGCATTGTCAAAGATTATAATTATGCACTCAAGAATTATGCAGAAAGTTAAAGTAGAGCTGAGTTCAACAATGTAACAGCACAATAATCTCATGCCATAATGGAGAGTTTAGAGTCAGAAAATTTAATGAGTCTGATATTGTCCTTATGGAGAATTTGGATGCAATAATTTTKTTTTTAATTTTCTTATTTGTTCAATAGGTGAACGCCCCTATATTTGTGATATTTGCCACAAAGGCTTCAAGCAATCAAGTGACCTAAAGAAACATAGACGTACTCACACTCTAGACAAACCTTACAAGTGTCCCCTGTGTCCGTCAGCCTTCACAAGGTCACATCACTGCCGTGGACACATCAACTCCGTCCATAAGTTCTTCAAGTGCATCACTTGTAGTGCTCTCTTTACTACTGAAGAGGATTTTGTTAAACATAAAGAACTCCATCCACTTATAAAGGAAGAGATTAAGGAAGAAATAAACCTACAGGATATGTTGCCTCAGCCTAAAATTATTGGATCATCTGTAAGTGGTGATATCACAGCTATCAGATCATCTTCCAACAATAATCCCACAGTTACTACATCATCTCCCAAAAGTGATCCCAGGATTGTTGGATCATCTACCAATGGTGATCCAAATGTTACTGGATCATATTCCAACATTGATCCCAAGGTCATCAGATCTGTTCCTAACAAGTTGAAAATTGAATACAAGCAGCCTAGTGAAATGAAATCTCCCAATCACACAACTAACTCACTTTCACGGACAAGGGAGAACATTGATTTGGCTGAATTTATGGCATCCATGGCTGCACAAAGATCAGCCGGGCTATCGAATGCTCCAATTCAAGATAGACAAGAAGTGATAAGCCCTAAACCTCAGCCAGGAGGCCACACAGAAACAAAATATCACCCGGTTACTAGAGAGGGTGAGCAGGACTCCCATGGCAGTGGAAAGGAGTGGTCCCAAGCTACTTATAATGGACAGAAAACATCTGAAAATGACATGAGGAAAGATAGCTTACCTACATGGTTAAAAAACCCAGCATTTCCAGTGTATCCATACTCTTGGCCTTCCAATGACTTTAACAATCATGGCTTATCAATGATTTCTCTACCACCATATCAGAAATATGCATACAATATTCATCAATTACAAGTTAAAACATCTACTCATCAACAAGATGAAGTGGCAAGCTTTTTGCCAGAAYCAAAGAAAGCTGCAAGTGTAACYTGCCAACGAGTATCTGTTATTCACTACCATTCAAGCAGTACTAGTGATGAAAGCACTTCTAACAAAGAAGAAGATAGCTGTAATAATAGCTCAAAGGCTGATAACCCTAGTCAGCAGGGGAAACAAGATGAGAARGAGGTCGATATTGTGAACAGAGAGCCATCCTTGGAGTCTAAAACCAGTTTCTCTAGYATGAGTGGTTATAATGAGCCGTATATACCTATCGATGACCGGGAGCTGAGTGGATACATAGTTTCACCAAGAAACTCTCCTGAAGTGCAATGCATATCRCTTAAACAACAAACACAATCTTTTCAAAACAACAAACCAATGTCAAGAAAAAGACAATCCTCTTCTAATGCAAAAGATGATGCAAAAGTTTTCGTATTTGAAGATGGAGTTGATGTAAATAAGCAAAGTTGCACCATAGAAGTCCAGCATGCTAATGAAGAAGAGAGAACCAGTGTTATGTCAATGAAGGTTTCAGAAGAAAGGGATATTAGTGGTATTAATGATAGTGAAGGCATAGAGGATATGGATATAAAGACAAGATTTGTCAACATTGCGCCAAAACTAGAATATGCCAAATCAAAAGGTATAAAGCACAATTCTATTCATTTTGATCATGAAGATCAATCAGACTGTTTTAACATTAAGCAAATTGAAACTCAAACTCAATGATAAAAGAAGAGGCCAAGTCTGCCAACAATTGCTTATCAATCTGATAAACCCTTATCCAGTAGATAAAGTCCACAAAATCTGTAGTGTGGTTAACTTTATCCACTGGATAACTCACATTGTACAACAAGCCTCTGGTATCAGATTATCACAAACTAAGGCTTTGCTCATGTACTTTGCTAAGTGTACCTGAAAGTAGCTTTCGATTATTRCTAAATAATTCTAATTCTATGATGGCTGTGATCAATGCAACTATTTAGAATGCTACTATTTTCTAGAAACTCAGTACACACAAAGGCAAGGAGGGAGAATTTATTCCATTTGAAGTAATGTTTAAATTAATTAATTCCTAAAATCATTTACAAAATGTACTCATATTACAGATGTCGAAGAAGACAAGCCATACATGTGTAGTGTGTGCCAGAAATGCTTCTCTCGTGCAAGTCTACTAAAACAACACTCAGTCATTCACCAAGGAAACAAGAGATTTAAATTCAAGTGTGAAACTTGTGAAAAGATGTTCAGAACAAGAAGCCACCTACGAGATCATGTCCGCATACACACAGGTACGAATCACATTATTATAWACTGATCAAGATATGAGGAAAGTCGCATTTACTGAGGAAAGTCTTTTTGTAATGTAGTAAACATCACCTGAAATTAAGATCCTGGGTGGATCAGGTTCTTTTTGTTGTTGGTAATATAGGCAAGACATGTTCTTCTGTGAAGGGGATGTGTTATTATTTCTTAATATTATAATTAACCTTCTCCTGATAAATACATGTGCATGCTTACAGGTGAAAGACCTTTTAAGTGCCACATATGCTCAAGAGCTTTCAAGCAGTCAAGTGACCTCAAAAAACACATTAATCTACACACTGGGGCTAATCAGTTTAAATGTGAGGAGTGTAACATGGAGTTTCGGCGTGGAGATGCTCTACGAAAACACAAACTTGGGCACCAGACAGATGACAAGTTTGTTTGCAACTACTGTAGTGTCCAGTTTGACCACTATGCYGCACTCCAACAACACCAAGCTGTACATACTGGTAAGGTGAAGTATATAAACATATATGCGCCATAATTATTGGCTATAACCAATACTTTACAACTACTGGCTACTTTACTAAATCTCCAGCCACAAAACCCTTGATAAGAATGAAAGTATGCAGAACATTCTGGTAGTTGCAGTGTATTGGCATCATTACATTTTGAAAAGGGTTATCACCCAATATATAGTTCATAGTCATTTCCACTAGCTACAGGTATAGGTAGCTACAGGTATAGGTAGC